AAATCATCTCCCTTAAATCCCTTAAAAAGAACACAGCCTAAGTGGAAAAGGAAAAGAGGGGTTAATTAATTCATAGAGAAAGACGTTTCGGAGTGATAAAAGTTTGAAAATATACTTTAAAGAACTTAAAATGGAAAAATTTAAATCCTCAACAAAACATCTTTCTAATATTTTTAAGCATATAAAAAACATTAACCAAAAACACACAAGTTAAAATATAAAAGGCAGAATTTTTGTTTGCGTGCTTCTCACATTAACATAGCGTATGCAAATATGAATACATGAATATAGTAACAAACCATATTATCCCACCAAAATTACATGTAATCATTTGACAGAATCACACGCAAGAAGATTGCCTGGTAGCCGTAGTGACAATTAATCTGGTTAGTGAGCATATTTCAGTTGGCCAACAATAATAAAGGGAGCATATCTAAGTTATCCTATTGCAAAATGGCAAATAAGCAAGACTCGGTCGCTACACCATCATCAAACTAACTTCTACTATGTAGAAATATATCCAACCACGGAAGAACTAAATTTCTTTATCATCAAAATTGCCATAGAAAAACGTTTTGCTTATGCTTCAACAGACATCACTACCACAAAGAAAAGGAAAACAAAAAATAGCATTTCTAATACTACAGTTGCCCCTAATTGCGTGACTTGCGAACCATGCAAGAACAACTGTTTCACCTTACAGTGACATATAACAAACCAAAAAAAGGCAAAAAGAGAAAAAAAAAATGACATACTGAATCTTCAACTATTCAACATTTCTCAGAATGGTTTTCCAGGAACATTCACGATGCTTCCTCGGTGCATTTAGAGTAGTACTTCCCTGTCATGAATCCAACTGAACCGAATTTTTGATGACTCCTTGACTCTTGCTTGAGCTCTCTCCTCCAACCTTCTGATTCTTGGTGGCAGCCCACAAACGTAATCCTGAGCCTTCCTTCCCTCGCTTGATAGTCCTGTTAGATCCTCCACCTTCCACCTCCCCACCAGAAATTCAAGTATATCAGCATAGTCCTTGGCAGTATAGACCCCAATGCGTTGGGCTACAGCAGAGTAGTTATCAAACAGGTTGTCGTCAAGGCCATCATACATAAGATGTGCTGGCATGGCAATTTTCTTCCTCATCATGTCTGCAAACGCCGTAACAGTTCCATCAGGGTCAACCTCAAACAGCTTTTCCACTATCTTTGTGTATGCAGTCTCATGGCGTTTCTCATCCGAGGCAATCATGCCGCAGATCTGGGCCAACTTTATATCACCATGCTCCTTAGCAAGCCTGGCTGTGTTTCCGTGGGATATGAAGGTTGCCCTCTCTTGAAATGAAGTGTAAATGAAACCAAGGTAGGGACTGTTCTCAGTCCGAGGATCCTATCCATCAATATCAATCAGTCAAGGACAATACTGGAAAAGTGAGAAGTGCAAAATAATGCTGAATGTCATGTACAAATAATGCTGTATGGATGTACGGTCTGTTTACATAAACTTCTCCACAAACATCTCTATAGGAAAAATGAAATAAAATGAGCTTCATCATAGCTAAAAATTAGCTTATGCATTAGCTATTTTGTAGAAGCTCTCTCCTAATAGCTTATCTAAAAGATTTTTTTTTTCTTTTTAACTTATGCATACGGTAATTTTGGTTTATAGAGAAACTTATTCATTTTTTCTACACCTAAAAGTACAAGTAGAAAAATTCATAAGAAATTTCAAGAAAGTTGAATCCAACTCTAATAATCTAGACCTTCATTTTTAGAAGGTAGACCCTAAAATAGGTCAATGGCTTTCATGTGTATATTTTTGCTGACAGAAACACATTAATAACACTCGATGCATTAGGTAATAAAATTCATATTTCAGGCCCTTGTTCAACCACGGCCCAAATGTAGTAGCTGTTAAACGGCAAGTACGAGTATGTTTCATTATGAAAACTACAATCGCTGAAGACCAAGATAGACTACAGAAGATGTATAAGATCTTACCATTCCAGATCCAATCAAGTACTGAATTGTCTTCTCAATTTGTCTCATGTCAACTCGTCCACATAAGTAAAGATACTTATTAAGAAGATCACCGTGTCTATTTTCTTCAGCAGTCCATGCCCTAGTCCAAACTGCCCAGGAAGTAAGGCTAGCGCCTGTTTCATCACGAACTCCATCCAATGTATTTAACATTGTTTGATAAGTAGGAAGGGCTTCCTCCGTGATCATGTCTCCAACCAGAACAACAAAGTAATCATCAGGAAGCTCCTTCGCTCTCTCTCTCAGTTCTCTCACCTGCTCGTCAAATCCATCTGCAGAAGGATCTGGTAAAAAATCCTGTGGTTGCCAACATTTTTCTACAGGTTTAAGGAGAGTCAAGACGTTCTGCTCAGCCCAATCCTCCAACGATTTGAAAATCTCAATCTTCTGGGGAGGCATAGAATGGGTCACTTGAACATGCACTTCTCTCGGAGGCGTGAAAGGCTTCTTAATATTTTCAACCTCTCTACAAAAATTCAAATGACTTTTAGAGAAATAATACAGCAACTTCTCAAATGATCATGCTGGTAAATTTGATCTACAGAGTGAACAGTACCGTTAATAGCAACAACAATCATACAATCCCCACAGATACAGACCTATACCATTTCATGAACACCAATATCCAAAAGAATAAAAATGACTATCTTACATAATGGGCAGTTTGCAAACAAACAGTAAATCAGTTTCAATGCAGCAAGATAGATGTCCATGTGTATGAAACAAACTGGAGTAAGGATGAATGGTGGGGAAATTGTCACTTCAATTAGGAGAAATAGTGTCATTTTTGGAAAATAAAGTAGGACCAGTTGATATCGAGATAAATCTAGTCATATGATCACATCGCTGCAGTAGCAGCATTGGACATCCATTTTTTTTGTATAAAAAGATAATACACCACCTGTTAGGTACCTGAGCATACCCAATTAGTATTCATTCCTAGCATGTGCACGGCTCACAATGTTTAGCTATCTACACAAACACCTATCAAAGTGACAAATGGACAGTTTCACCAAACGCGCCTACATTCCTGTGTTATTCAAATTTCCATCCAAAAACCCCAAACAACCAGCAAAAAAAGCCATTCACAAGTCGGAACTGTTACCACTCTTTTTAATTCATCCACATCAAGATAATCATAATCAGTGAAAAGTTGACAACAATCATCAAAGTAACATCCGAAAGATAAGCTAAAAAGCAGAGACCACAAATGAAATCAAGCAGAAGATAACAATGACGCAGCAAGCATCAAAATCCTTAATTTAAAAGGTACTCAATTCGAAACTGAAGAAAAAAAAACCCAACAATGAAAGAAAACAAAAATTAAGTAACTAAACAACAATTTCCTGACAGTGAAAGTAAAACATAAATGTAAATAGGTTGAAAACGAGAACCTTAAACATGAATGTAAATAGGTTGAAAACGAGAACCTGAACACGAGAGAACCGCCAAATTTTTTTCTAACCAAAAACAAAGGCAGAAACAGAAAACAACAGAATCGAAATCACAAAACACAAATAGTCTTTGTGGTAGACTGAAACAATTCCTTATTAATCCTCACCAATCCCGAGAAAAAAAAAAGCACGCACACCGAACACGAAAAATAAGAAAAAACCCAACAGTGTGTATTGTATGAAATTGAACCACTCCACCTCATCCATCAGATTGCGAAAACAAACATGTGGAATAACATTTTGTGCGAAGAATAGTTGATGGAGAAAATAAAAAAGTGAATTCGAAAACAAACAAACTAAGAAAAACAAAACAAAGCATTAAGAATAGAGCGTGGTTTTCAAAGTTGTTAGGTTTGGTTTGAGACATTAGAGAGATGGAAAAAACAGAAGAAAAAGGAAAGAGTGAAAAATGAAGGAAGTGAAAAAAAAAAAAGAGAAATGCATGAATTGAGTTAAGAGAAGAAGATCTGAGAGAGATAGAACTGACTTGGAACCAGAGCGGAGGGTGGAAGCCATGCGGAACTTGGGAGATCTGAGACTAGCCATCTGAGGAAGGGCGAAGGTTTGGGTTGGCAGAGGATTCAGTCTGAGAGCCATTCTTGGTTCTTATGTTTCCTGATTGGAAGACGATGAGAGTGAAAGAGATTTCGACAAACGAATTAGAAATTGTATGAGAAGAAAGAATGAAAGAAAGCAAGCCAAGAAGAAGAGTGATGTGAGGCAGCAAAGGAGGAGAGTAGCGAGTGAAAGGGAAAGAAGGGAACCACTTAATGGATGGTTTAGGCGCATCGATTCAGGGATACTTTCGTCTTTTCTCCTCCTTCCCTAAAACCCTCCTCTTTTTTCCTTCTAATTACTCTATTGCCCTTCCCTCTTTTACATTAAATCTAACGAACAACTACTATCAATTTTGTTGCAATAATTTTTGGAATATTAATATACATAAGGTCTGAAGAAATGTTAGATAAGCAACTTGGGTGATGAAGAGAATATTCTTACTAGGTTTTTAGTGAACAGATTTGAACCGCGATGTGAAAGTATAAAGGATTAGTAATATATCTTTAATATATTATTTTTAAGAAAAATTCTGTAAACTTTTATATTGGTTTAGTTTTTATTTAATAAACTCCACTCATTTTTTTCAGTTTTAAATTAACTTTGAATAATAAAAATATAATAATAAGGATACTAATCTTTCTGAATTATATTTTTCAAAGAAATATAGTTAATAATGTGATATTAATTTTTTTTTATTATAATAGTTTCTTACCTATTAAAGGGGGTGAGAAGTAGTTAATGAGTTGAATCTAAAACTCAAATTTAGGACAATGTCAATGTTTGATTGGATTGTACTAATATTCTAAATAAGTAGTCTTTAGAAAATCTTAAAACATGAAAAAAAAGTAGCGTCAACCCACGTGAATATCGCAATAAAATCTTAAAACATGAAAAAAATTAGTGTTTCCACCATTTTTTTATTTTATTTCTTTAATCTTAATTATTTATAGTTTTGGTTGCTTACTATTTTACATAGTTTTTTTAATTTTTAATTGATTTAGTTTTATTGACCTGGTACTAATCACATCCCTTAATATTTGGGTATTTGGTGTGTTCATTTACCATAATATATTTGTTTTATGTCTATTATTTTATATAAAAAATGTTATATAATCAGTGAAAATATTTTCAGAACTTTTATGAAATTATAAAGTTTTGATACTGCTCTTTCTACAAATATTTTATTATTTAATAATACCATACTTGTTTTCCAATAAAGAATTGACATGAGACCTAACAGGACCTCTAAACAGTAAAATAAATTTTATAAAGACAAAAATTAAAAAATTAAAAGCTTTAAACATATATTACAAGCATTGAAAATATATTTAAGCACTTATTTAATTGTTAATTAATTACAAACCAAGTTAGCTGAAAATTTTATTGTGTTAATAGGTTAAGTACTGCTTTATAATTAACTTTCACACAACCAAAAATAAACATTCTGATTAATAACCTCTTAACTTAATAGGTTAAGTACTGCTTTATAATTAACTTTCACACAACCAAAAATAAACATTCTGATTAATAACCTCTTAACCTAAGATTAGGATGATGGTTAATATAACAATTAAAGTGTTTTAAATATTTTATTAAATAATTAAAATAACTTGGTATTTGATTGTATTGCGCCACAATTGCTAAAACTCTTATTACACCTAAGTTGATTGTACCTGAACTTAGGGGGAAAAAGTCTTACAACATAAATATTGCAACTAGATACATTAAACTTTTCAAATCAATTTCCTTATTTCAATATTTAAATTTCGATACAAAATATAATATAAAATAAATTTATTTTTTATATTTAACTTTTAAGATATGCATCAGAAGAATATTTTCCCTTGCAAGAAAAATATAAACATTATAAAACATGTTTAAGTATTTAAAATATAAATGAATGTTACTTAACTCAATAATACTTAATGTTGATTTTTTAAAATACCATAAATATAAACTTAATCTCAATGAATAATAATTTTTTAAAAATGAAGATTAAAAAATGTAACTAACATTTATATTTCACACTATTTTTGAATATGCTAATGATCTTAGTATTTAAAAACAAGAAGATCGATTTTAAAAGACAAATAAGAATAAAGATAAAAAAGAATTTATCATTCTTAAAATAAAAAAGTAAATAATGTTAGAGATTGATTTTGTTATTAGAATAATGTATGAGAAATATGATATGATAACGGAAGTTTAAGTAATTAATGATTGATTGAGTGAGAAGTTAAATCAAGTCTCATACATCTAGAACAACGGTCTCTCTCATTCAATGAGATATTAATCAAATGAAATTTTTTTCGATGTGCTTGCAACACCCCAAATATACCCGTAAGTATACTAGGTTGTTGTAGTAAACAAGTGTTGTATCCATAGAAATTTAAAGGAAATAATAATATTTTGAGCAGTTTGATATAATATAAAACTATTTTTGTGTAAAAAGTGAGTGTGAAGGTTATGAGTGTTATAAAGCCAACTTAGAACTTAATTTAAGCTATTAAAAGAGTGATTTTAGTGTTTGAACCGTGTTGAAGCTTGACTTCACAAATTCCTCCTCTCTTGTATTAGATCTTCCTCCAAATTTGTAGCTTTAGATGATCAAGTCCTGAGAGTACTCTTTATGTACTCTAGGCCCATCCCGATATCCAAAAATTAATATATTGCCTACTATCCAATGTGAAACCTGTCAGTTACTGCGTACGACTCACTTGCATTATGAATAAGACTCTATTCCAACTGCACATCTCTGGTCTATTTCATTCAAAAACATACATGAAAACTGTTTAGACCACAACTTAAGACTAGCTTCCACTCAATCTTAAGTCAGTTAAATAGGATAAGTGATCAATTCATCCAACAATCAAGCATAAACCAATTAATCCCTTTAAATTAAATGAAAACTTCATAGATAAAAGTGTCACCGAATACAAGAAAGTTTGAATCTACTACATCATGCTCCAACATAATGGAGGTTTAGTTCCTCATAAATATTGAAAGAAGTACATGCAATGAGGAGTAAAACATCTCATAATCCTCTAAGGATATATCTTTGAATTACAAGGATTATATGTGAGAAGACTCACTAGAGTCTCTCTCTAGAATACCCTAAGAGATCTAACATTGAAGTCCTTTCTCTCTCTCTCACCACTTCTTTTGAATCTATCCAGAATGCTCTTACTTATAGACTTTCACAACACAGCTTAAGCAGTGGCTCATGACTCCAATGTCGAGGTTTCCTCCATTGCTATTGTTGGGCTAGAGTTGCTTAAGGTTGCTTATTAGTGAAACACCCTTCTATGGCTCAAGCTTCAACTTATGCAAAAACAAGTAAAATTAGGATAGTTATTACAGGCTTTGTACACAATCGAAACAAGATAAGTGCTAATTAAACATTGAAAATCACTAATATCAACCACTTGTGAAAAACTTTTTGTTTAATCTAAATTGACCAAAGGATTTAGACAAGAAATATTGTTGAACACATACATTTTAAAAGACTAAAGTAATCAAATAATTGATTGAAAAACTAACATAATATTTTATTATTATCACAAAGCGAGTTTTAAATAACACAATCAACCTTTTTATCAAAGATTAATCAAGATACTATAACATTGACAAATTAATTGATTATACACTCTATAAAAATTAAATTGGGAATGAGGAAATTGCATAATAGAGATAAACGAAATTGCCATTAGAAAACCAGATGAAAAACGAAAATGAAATTAAAAGACGAAAACAGAATTACTCTGAAAAACGAAATTAGAAAACCTAAGGTGTAGCACTGTTCACATCCCAAGAGCTTCTAAAATGAAAATTAGAGAATGAAGGAGTCTAAGGGTGGTTGCTACTTGGGCACAAGACTCTAGGTTAGCCCTTAAAATGGGTTTTTTCCAAATCTATCCAAAAATGGGCCCAAAACCTAAATCTGGTCCAATATTCAAATCTAGTCTAAAAATTAAAAAAGTAAAATTACAAATGAAATTAAAAACAATTGTTGATGTGGAAAATAACAAATGACGTGGCAATATTCTTGTTGTCCCAAAATATAATTCCAAAATTTGCCCTGAAAATAATAATGAAAATAATTAAACTCAAATAATTCAAATTAATTAAAATATGAATTACTCGTTAAATTAAGCGCAAATATCAAGACTGAGGAAATATTGGTCAAATTAAGCACAATTTTCTAATTAAATCTAGTACAAGAAGCTAAGTGAATGGGAGAAAATATTGATTCATCAATAGGTTTTGGATGACTCAAGTGATGTGATGTAAGTATTTGAGTCTGTTTACAAGGGGATGTGAGGCTTGAGTGCATGTATGATATGTTAAGTATGTTTTCTCGTGGTGTGTGGATGATGCTTATGTGTTTTGAATACTTGATATTTGTTTAGAATGAGTTTGGGTTCAACATTAATCGATTATCGTAAGTAATAATCAATTATTTGGGCGAGTTTTATGAACACCCTCAAATGGATGGTTAAGTTGAAGCCTTGAACAAGATCATAGTTTTATAACATAAACACAAGCTAGGTGAAGGAAAAAAGCATGGGCTAAAAGGCTACTAAAGGTGTTTTTGGCGTGTCGATGCTCACTACACATCTTAACTAAGGAAACCTTATTCAACTTGACTTATGGGACAAACACAATTATACTTATTGAGGTAGGAGAGCCCACTCTCAAAAGGAAAATGCAGAACATGACCATGAATGTCGGTCAAATCCAAGGTGAATTAGATAACTTAGCCAAGAGGAGGGAGGTGGCAATTGTATGAGCAGAAGCCTACAAAAGGATGGTCACTTACAAGTACAATAGTAAGGTCAAAATAAGAAGCTTTGCTGAAAAAGACCTGGCGTGGAGGAAGACGAACAAAGCTCAAAATAAAGCAACATAGGGAAAGTTCAATGCCAACTAAGAATGGCCACTTAGAGTCACTAAGAACCTAAAGAATGGGGGCATACTGACACTTGAAATGCTTGAAATGCTTCACACCTCAAAGCTTTATTTGAGTTAATGTTGAATGTACTGAATGATGTATTATTTTCTACCACCAATATTTTCCCCTAAGGAGGTTTTTGGCCAGGGAGGTTTTAATGATGCACCTCTATCACAAAAGTCTTGTTTATCTACATGTTTTATTTTCATAAGCTTAGAGGGTGCGTTCAAATTTGGAACC